AAATTATGTAAAAAAAAAATTAATGTAAGGTTTTAGTAAATATGACCCAATTTTTATACAATGTTTTACCAAGTGATTCTTCGAGCAACAGAATGAGAATGTCCCTTTCACTGCACTGAGCATTATCATTACGCATAAAATAAAATCTTAACCTAGCAGTATGGTTGTTACAATGCTTATTGATCATGATAGGGCAACAGTCTATAGAATCAACCCAATGGGCTAGTTATGAGAATTGAAGTTAAGCAAACTTCAACAGCACTTTCCAATTAAAATTATAATATCTAACCTTGCATGTATTGCGCTCAATTTCACGTTGCCTCTTTTCTTGTTCTTCCAACTCTCTCTCTCTCTGTACCAAGTGTTTAATATGTTCTGGGTATTCATCCACTTCTAGAAATTCTATCAATAAAAATAGAAATTCTATTAATAAGACAATTTTATGAATTGTATACCCCAATATATATGTATTGTATCTGGCAAATATATAAAAGTTTGAAAGAGGATATTTATACATAGGTAATCAAAAAGGAGGAAGTAGGACAACTTGTTTCAGGGAGGGGATTGCAGTCACTGAGATGTAGCAAAGTGTATGATTTGCTGAATGTAAAACATGATCTTCTCTGTAACCTTCACTCAATTCACAATAAAAAGAAAAGAGAAAATCTGTATACATATTTTCTGCAAGCCAAAAAAACAGAAATAGGGGAAGAGAGATGCCAAGCCACATGAAGACTACCCAGAAGCAGAAGCTGAAGCCAACAGAAAGAGAAAGCCTTTCCCTCGAGCTGTTACCCTCAGCACACACTTCTAGACCCCAACTGTGAGAAAACAAATTTGATTGTGAAAACCATCCACTTTTGGTATTTATTATAGCAGCACTAGATAACTAATAAGACAGGCAGTAACAATGCAACTGAGCTCACTTTACTATGCTCCCACAGTATACACTTCTACTACAGAGCTATCAAAATATATCTCAATTACATCATTTACTCAACTTATCTCAGGCAAGGGTGAGGACAATTTAGCTGATAAACACACATGGTCAGGGCTCATACTTCTAAAAGCTATATATTTATCTGAAATGGCTCTTGGATCCAGCACATCTCTAGTAAGTAGATTAAGATTTTTAGGATGAAAAAGATCTTGAAATTTAAGAACAAAATCATTTCTGACTTTACATTGTGCCATCAACCTCCAACTGTGTGACCATGGGCAAGTTACTTAACTTTTCTAGACCTATGTTTCTTCTCTTAATACAAGCACCTACCCCACAGAGGTATTACTTAAAATCAAACACAGAATCAATAAATACTGTTACTTCTACAACAAATACAATTTGTCTTTGTGTATTATTACTCACTGACAATATTATCTTTCCTTTGCTCTTGAAGAAGTACTTCAGCTGCCTTCTGACTGAAGTGGGCAAAGTCACAAACAAAATCAAACCGTTCATATGTTGCATTTCTCCCTCTATATATCAAGACTCATTTAATTAAAGAAAAGCTGAGTACCAATTCTGAGGCTATTATTTTTAAACAACCAGTGAGACCAAAATAGCACATGCAAAAACTAGTTATCACTGACCACATATGTAAAATTATTTTTTACTAAAGTTTGCTTTAATCACCATAGCTTCATATATAGCTTGAGGTATTTAAGTGACAATATAAAATCATAAGTTTAACAAAACCAAAAGTTATTAAGCATGAAATAGGAAGAACAACATCCCAAATCCTCAAGACTCGAAGGAAAGCAAACACCACTGCCTTGAGAAATGAACTCTAATTAAAAAAAAAAAAAAATTCCCATATCATATCATCCAGCACCTTCTAGTGCTACATCACAAGATTCAAGAGAGCGGCGCACATAGAGGAAGGTGAGTTATGGCACTCTGGAAGATTGTGAGTGCCATCTAAGACATGTGAACTACAATACTGACATGCCCCCAGGTGAGTATGACTTGGGAAAAAATCACTCTTCGGAATACAGTTTTCTTATTTGTGAAGGAAAAATAATTATTTCTGTTCTGAAATCTTCTGAAGTGACTTCCTGTTAGAATTTGTAGTAATTTCACAATACATTTTTGAACAGCTACAGTATGCTAGACCCTGAACTTTTTTTTCATCCTTTGGCAAAAGATGAATAAGACCTAACCCATACATCAGTTGAATTCACAATTTAATGGGGGTTTGCAGAAATTTAAACACAATCATTATAATGCTTAACACAGATTTACTAATAGCATAGCAATTTCTAAAGACAGAAAAATATGATGGACTCAAAAATACTGTTTTACTATTTTAACGAAAATTACAAAAAGAATCTGAAAAAGTATGTCCCCCAGTCATGTATCTATATGTACACACAATGCACATGGCACACCCTATATCTATTTGCAACAATGGGTGAATGACTTTAACAAGAAAAAAAACGACACACAATGCTTTAAAGCAGTAATTTTTTAAAAATTACAAAAACCAAATAACACATACTTTGTATACAGCATTATTTCTGGGATTATTAATAAAATTTAAGTATATTAACAGAAGTGTGCTAGGGTCATAAAACCTTTGCTTTCTAAGCAAATAAGCAGAGATATTTAACTCAGAGTGTTGTCAGAAGATTAGTTCATATAGGGTTCCTACTGAAAACAATTAGATAATAAACTACCAAAAAGCTTATAGTTAGCACTGAGTTACTACTAAGAACCCGATATGATACTAAATGCTTAAAATGTGATTTAATTTTTTATAAGTTCCCTATGAAGTATTATTATTCCCATTTTATAGATAAGAAAAGGACTTAAAAAGGCTGAGTAACACTCCAGGGCACACAGCTGGTGAGCTATGACTGCTCACTGCTCTGGATTCATCATCACTACTCCAAATTGCAAATAATACAATTTTACTGCAAATACACAGTTTCAATAATGCAGAAAATGTCTTGTTTCCTCTCAGTGTGTTAAAAATAATTCAACAGCTTTTTCCAAATCTTTTTACCACTTGGTAAAGAATTATTTCATAAAAGTCTTTATAATTAACTGTTCTAGGCATAAAAAAATCTTAATTGCACCATCATTTAAAGTGGTTGTCTGGGTTTGCAAAACTTGCAAAAGAAATGAGCTTACAATATAGATTAAAATAAAATAATAGTATGTTAACATACTTGCATTTCTTGTTGGATCCTTCAGCCTATATATCAGCATATATGCATTTGTGGAGCTAATAGAAATATAAAAATGATAAATAGGGATAAGAACAGATTCTTTTAAGATTCCATTTCCTAGCATTACATTAGCACATATATAATATATATATATATATATATATATATATATATATATAACCCCCCGCCCCCCCCCAATTGGATTGTAAACTCCCAAGAATCAGGGACCATGTCTAGTTCATTTGCTTCCTGTAGTGGACACTCAATAAATTATTTTCTAACTCAATGAAAAGAATGAATAAATAACCATATTTAATTAATAAATTCTAGGTCTGGGTTCTAGAAAGTTTAATTGGCTTTCAGAGAATAAAAATTTTCAAACTCTACTGAGTATAAGCTATAGCTTTAAAAGAGACATGAATTAAACATGCTACCTAAGTTATTGAAAGTGTTTATATTACTAGTAATGATATTAAAACTTCTAGAAATATCTTAATACTTTTATCTGAGATCAATAATTAAATACTAACTGCAATTAAACATACCTTATAAGCCATTTCTACTGCTTCTTTTAAGGTCTTATCCTTATGAACCTCTAATTTATTTTCCATCATTACTTGTTTCACAGGATGCAAACAGAATAATTTTATCTATAAAATGCAAAATATCATTAGTCTCTCACCAAGTCAAGAGTCAAAGTTTAATTCTTTTGTGAAATAGTCTTTTTTCTCTGATTACATTTTTTAAAGCAAAACTGGTATCATTCTCTTTCAATGAATAATTGGTACTAAATGTTGTTTGTTTTAGGTGCCATCGAGTAGGTGCCGACTAATATTAGTGACCTTATTAGTGACCTTATGCACAGCAGAGAGGAGCTCTGGTAGCGTAGTGGTTACGAATCGGGCTGCAAACCTTAAGGTCAGTGGTTCGAAACTACCAGCCGCTCCGCGGGAGAAA